TATCATAGCATACTGGTCCATGAGACTCTATATCACCCTAGGGTACAAAAGAAAGCCAATAACCATGGTAAGAATAACGCATTATTAAGAACATCAACTGAAGTACTCTTGAGATACACAGTACCAGATTATGCAGTTAAACAACACTCAGCTTACATAGTAGATATTAACTTTGCAATAATTATTTTCTCTATAAGTTTTACAGCTCAAAATTGCATGCCAATTCAATGCTAAATTTTGATATTTATTGAGATACCAAGCCATATAAGAAGTGTTAATGATAACTCTACCATTATGCATACAACTCATCTATCATTAGTCACTTTACTAAGATGCTTCAATGTAATAATTCCATTTCTGCATTTCAGATGCATTTGCTAGGAGAATAAGTGAAATTAAACATTCTATCGATAGAGGAATTATCAGTCCAAACAAGAAGTATTATTGGCAACTCTACCATTATCCATAAAACCCATCTATCATCAGTCATTTCACTATAATTATGTCATGTCATAACTTATAATTCCATTTCCACATTTCATATGCACTTGTGAGGAAGAACAAATGAAACTAAAAATTCTAGGGACAGAGGAGTTATCAGTCCTAATATGACTCAAGCAAGGGGACTGGGGAAAAAAAGGTTCCATTGCATCAATTAAAAAGAGTGACTCTGAATTAAAATACAAAGTAAAAATGAAGAAACGGAAGAAACTATGATTTGCAAACATTTATCAAGCCTGCTCCTAAAGCATGTTAATTATAGTTTAGCTAAATTATCTTCATTTGGAGATTGTTGTTAAAAAAAAAAAAAAAATTAAAAAAATCAACCCAATAAGCAAGTTCTCACTGAATATTTAAATAGCACACTTATGCAGTTATGCCAGATTTTTCTTTTTTTATAATAAATAGTACTATATGACCATATGCATATCTTTTCTACATAAAAAATGTTAGTGCACTAACTGAGTTTAATTGGGAGTTACATCCATGAGGCACCAACGCAGGCAGAAACGGCACACCCATGCCAGTCATTTTTGAGAATGATGATTGGTTGAAACTCTTACAAATTCCAATCAAAAGAATGATTCAGTCTTTTGGCCCTTTTTTTTTTTTTTTTTTTTATATGGGGTCCCTTAGTTACATCGATTGACAAAAAGGAAGCTTAGACAGCATTATATATTTTTATACTGATACTTCTTTGAAAACTTTTTAGAGATAATAAAGGTTTCCAAACTGATGTCTGGTCTGTAAATGGGAAAAGCTATTGTTCCCAAGACCCATTTATTTTAGCTAAAATGAAAATTTTAATAGTTTAGTATCCTAACATGATATTTTAGGTTTTCTGAAGCATTAGGACATTAGGTGTTTGTCAAAAAGTTCTAAATCCTTTAATGTCTATATGATATGTACAAAGAAAAAAGGCATAAACTAACACTATTTTCGGGTTTCACACTTTTCATTTCAACTAGCAATCAGTAATATAAAAAAAATGGTATTAAAAACATCAAAATCCTGTTATTTAACCTCTTTCTCAATTCACCCAAAATAGCAGCAACCCCGAACTTGAACATGAATGACAAAATGCATGTAATTGAGATCCGAAAATCAAATCTAAGTAGAAACAAAACGTCACGAACACAACATGCAACCACTGGCATTCATTTTCCATGATACGCATACCGTATTGACCAGAGAAAACGAGCGCGTTAGAATGAGGTGTAATTCTCACCTCTTTCTCAACGAATTTGTTGAAGAACTTCTCTGCTTGGATCGGAGAGACATCGCCTCTGTAATCGCGGCTGATCAGGCATCTCCCTTTGATGTCCATGATGAACAGCGCCGACGTAGCTCCCGCCATCGACAAAACCCCACCTAAACACCTCCAGTTCACTCCTGCATTAGCATGAATACGCGTAGAATTTACGGCTGGGTCGTCGGATCACCGATGTGAACTTAAAACTGAGAAAGCTTCCATTGATCATTAAGTTCTGCAGAAGATATAATCTTTGTTGGGATTTGATTGCAGATGGAATCGCGCAGGAACACACGTGTCATTTCAAATCTACACTGCCTTAAAGAATTCGCGCCATAGAAGGCAAATCGGTTCGGGAATACTACATCCATTATGGTGTTATTGATTTTTTTTCTTTTTTCTTTTTTTAAGCATGGTGTTATTGATTTGAATGGGAAAAAACTAAGTGGAGTGAATAAATGTAAAGTTATTAGAAAAGTTAGTTACAAATATATAATAAGTTTCTAAAAGATTTTTTTTTCAATGTCAATTTTAAATTTAGATTCTTCGCGATTAAATGTAAATTGTTGTTTGAAGAGTTATCATATGATTGTGAAGTACTTGTATGTAGATGAGGATGATAGTTTGAAAAGGAAATTGATTGACGAATACAAGTTTGTATATGATAAATAACTAGAAATGTTTCATCAAATGGTGGTTTTTTTTTTTTTTTTTTTTTTTTTTGTATATAGTTACGGTAGAACACGTCAAACATTTCTATGGAGAACTTTATTTACAACATTGCGGTCTAAATGTGATATTGTCAGGGACAGAGCCAGAAATTCAGAGGGGGCGAAGAAGTAGGCATGGATTCAGAAATTTTTTTCAGTAAAGGTGAAACATTAAAATAAAAGACATAATTTAAAAAAAAAACACATCTCATTATTAATATAAAATAATGTTATATATATGTGTGTGTGCGCATTAAATATTAAAAACGTGACTGTGTTGAAACCATAGGGAATGAGTCAAAAAAAAATGGTGAAGCCAACTATAAAATTATGTTAATAGCAAAATTTAAACCCCTATCCTTCATCATAACTCAATATATGCGCAACCAACTCATCCAAATCAACTCTTGTTAACATTTAATAATTTTATTTTACTAATACTAACACATGTACTATACATACAAAAATTATATATGGGGTGGGGGTGGGGTGATGGGGGCAGCTGCACCCCCCCTTTGGCTCCGTCCCTGGATATTGTTATAAACGTCGCATTGCGTGGTATAGTTTCCCTACTTCTACAGTTCTACTAGGTGAAAGGACTGCACACTCATGCAAAGATCTTGCTGAGTTAATTGTGAGGACAAAGTTAATAATTTGGGATGAAGTTTCAATGATGCACAAACACTGTTTTGAAGCGTTAGATCGAACAATGAAGGATTTATTAAGGTTTTTCAATCCTACAAGTGCAACTGTTACATTTGGTGACAAACTGATGATTTTAGGTGGAGATTTTAAACAAATATTACCAGTGGTTCCAAAAGGTACAAGGCAAGACATCGTTGTTGCAACTATAAATTCTTCTTATTTTTCGAACAGTTGTAGAGTTTTAAGATTGACAAAGAATCTCCGATTGAGTAATATGGAACCTAGCCTTGAAATGCAACAAGTTGAACAGTTTGTGAATTGGATTGCCTCAATCGGTGATGGAACAGTTGGAGGTTCAAATGATGACTGTCCAGAAGTTGATATTCCTCAAGATTTTTTGGTGCACTCAACTAGTCACCTGATTGCGGATTGTTACAATCGTCGTCGAAAGTACATTCCCGGTGTTTTAAAATGGATAATGCGATAACAGGTTTCTGGAAAAAGCATGTAATGTTGGCACCTAAGCTTGATGTTGTTAATTCAATTAACGACTACATGAGTAACATGCTTGTTGCGGAAAGCAAGACATACTTGAGTTGCGATACTGTATGTCGAATTGAAGCGAATCATGGGATTCTCGCAGATGTTCACACACCTTTCTTAAATGGACTACGAGCATTTAGCATCCCAATCACTCATTGACATTAAAGGTTGAGTCACATGTGATGTTATTGAGGAATATAGACCATTCACTTGGTTATGCAACTAGGTTATTAGTAACCAAATTATCAGAACGTGTTATAGAAGCAAAAATAATGTCAGGTAATCATGCTGATACTAGGGTGTTGATTCCTATGTTAAGTATGACTCCTTCAGATCCAATAGTGCTATTCAAGTTCAATAGAAGACAATTCTCGATAACGCTTTCATATGCAATGACTATCAATAAAAGTCAATGACAAACACTAACTCAGTAACTCATGTAGGGTTGTTACTTAAGAAACCAATGTTTATACATGGTCAATTCTATGTTGCTATTTCAAGAGTTAGTATTCTACAGTGTCTCGAAATTTTAATTTGTAATGAATTAGAAAAGATATGTCCTTCAACTACTAATGTGGTTTACAATCTTTTTTAATAATTTATAATATTCATTTCCTTTTATTCAACTATTAAAAAATATTATTACGTAAGAAGGTACGCGGTCGTCTTCTTCAACTAGGGAAGAAGGTACGCTGGTCGCCTCCTTTTCCAAGAAGAAGACTATTAGACGTCGGCGACTGTTTTGGGTTTTCGATGTCTTTTTTATTTTATTTTATTATTATTATTAATGTTGAGGATGACGGTCAACGATGGTATAGTTACCGATAACCTATTGGTTACCTATTAAGTGGACTTATTTGATTGGTTTTATGAAGTTAAAGTACTTGATTGAATTTTTTAACACTTTCGTATAATGTTTAGGGGTGTATCTTCCCCCTCCCCGAAAAAAAATTGAGTTAGATATTTTTAATTTTTATAATAGTTCATGAATTTCATACTCTACTTATTAACAAAATGAAGTTCCACAAGTATCAACCCAATACAAGTAAAAAGCCAACTTAGACTGCACCCAACATGTATTTTTGGATAATGGTGTATCGTGCAAGGTAGATCATGATTCACAATATAATTTATTGTGAAAATACATAAGGTTGTCCAACTAAAAAAAACCTAATATTGGATCATTAAACCGTTTAAAATCATACAATTAAACCAAAATTAATTTGTCCATCCGAATATTATTAAAAAAATATTTTAATAATTATAAATAAAATAAAATTAACCCCCAGGGCCTCCCCGTCTTCGTCTCCGGCGATATCGACAACTTTTACATGTAAGCGTCGAGTCTGATCATTTAACCAATAAAAAGATTTTAGGAAAGGATAAGCAAATTCAAATCTCCTTTCTGTTCTCAGGTGTAACTGTAACAATGGAAGCTCTTGGCCTTGGCCATGGACTCCCCCCACTTTCTGTTCTCATGACCAGTCCTCGACAACAACAAAGATGGAATCTTCTAGGTTCCGCCAGTTGCCTCGCACCTTCATTAGCACCGTTGTCTCTCAAATCCGGAGTTTCACTCGTCAAGGTCAGTCTCCAGTGTTGAGTTCAATTGGCATTTCAAGTGTGTGTGTGTGTTTAAGGTCTTTCTGAAACGGGTGGCTTTCTCTTTTGTAGTTTCAGTGCAGAAGTGGAATAAGAATGCAACAAGTGGAAGAAGAGTATGAGTTGAAGCAAATGAAAGATATGGCTGCCGCCAGAAAGAGATGGGATGCTTTGGTACATTTTTTGTTTCTAATTTATTCGTAGTAAATTTGGGTTTGAAAGATCTAACGAGTCATCCATGGGAATGAGGGTTTAACCTCATTGACTTATACTGCTAGACTACTAGGGTTTGGCATTTATTTGTTTATATTGTTTCCATGATTTCTTCCTCGGAGGATAAATATTCATGGTTCTTATATAGATCAGGGAGGGGAAGGTAAAGATGCTCACTCCAAGGGAAGCTGGCTATGCAATTCAGCTCTCAAACAAAACTCTGCTTGATGTTCGCCCATCAATTGAACGTGAAAAGGTCAGTGAAGCTTCTCTTGAAGACTTGTTCACACCCATTTTTGTGATAATGCATCATGTGATTATGGAAATTGCAGAATTCCAAATAATTGTTTTCTCTTCTCATTACTCCAGAGTTTTACTGGAAAAAAAGAAACGAAAGAAGGAATAGTACATTTGTCATCATAATTTTGAAAAATTGCTGCTAAATTCTCTTAACATCTTTCCCATAATAGGGATATCCCACTTTTGTCCTAGATAAATTAATTGAGTCATCCAAAATTTAGAGTGTGAAGTGAAAGGAGATCCATTTTTTGGGGGAATTCATATTACTATCATTCTTATGTTTTTAAATTGAAAGAGATCATCTTTGTCAAATGAGGGTATCTCAAATTTTAATAAATACTTTGTAAAAGGTATGAAATGAATTGAGAAAAGGAAGTCATAACAAAAAGAAATGGACATAATAAAGTGAGACTGTGAGGGTAATAGTAATCACTCTGCCATTTACCATAGGCCTTACAAAATTGTTCACTTTAGAAGGGGAAACCTACGAGTACTCTTGGGGTACTAATCTGGTATGGAAAGCCAAGAGAGGTCTAGAGGCAAACATCCCCTAACTGCCTAACACTGAAGATATATCTCAGGAAATGTAAGGGGGTCTTTAGGGTATAAAAATTCAAAAGAAATGATCTTTCTAGTTTCTACCTTTTGAATTATGTAGAAAAAGAAAATTCCATAGGATTTCCAGTAAGATGATAGAGTAAAACAATGAAGAAGATTTGAGTAGATATGCAAGCCTACAACTGAAATTAAGAATGGATGGACTCCACAATTCAGTAGTCCATCTTAACCTCGTCCAAAAGAAGCCAGTTTAGAGAGGTGACGCTGCAACCATTTCTTGCAAGAGAAATACTTCAGAATACCCAATTGTGCTCTATGCTTTTTCTTTGAACAATGCAAAAGCCGCCTGCTAACTGAACATTTTCTTCATACTTTAGGTCACCTCTGCAAATAAATCACAGAATGAGGTCTCAACTGTTTGCATGCTCTTCTCTAACTATGTGACTATGTCTGTAGCTGTTTGTTGAATTATCTGTACTTTAGAGTTGTATGTGTGCTCTTATCCTATTACTGCTCCAGTAGTTCTGTGCTTCTTTTCAGACCTCTGTTAAAATCATTGTTTACCTCAAAAGAGTTCTATCCATATAAAATGAAGTAGAAAATGTAAAATTGGAAAAACAACCCTAGTTTCAGTTCTCACCTTCTGTCATCATGCCATCTTCCAAATTGTCATTTTCTAACTACTATTTGCAGGCACGGGTGAAAGGCTCAGCCTGGATTCCAATTTTTGAGGTTGATACTAGATTAGATCCTGGTACACTTTCCATGAAGGTTACAAATTTTATGATGGGTATGGTTCTTTTTATATTACTAAAAATTTGAGGCTTACTATGCTACTGACTACAATTTTTATTGTAATTGGAAATCTTGGACCCAAATGATGGGATTTTGCTTAATGTTGAATCATCTACCAAAATGAATTTTGAATTAACATGAAAGTTTGCTCCAATTTCTTTCACAAAATTAATCTCATATATTTATATTTACTTACATAATTATGCATGCTAGCTATCTTACATGAAAATAGCTTGTTTTAAATTCCTTGAGACTGTTTTGGCTCCTTAATTCAGTAATTCTTCTACTTTGTAGGAGGCTGGTGGAGTGGTGTGCCTACCTTGTCCTATAATAGGTCATATAGAAACTACCTTATCATCGAATTAATGTGAAAATTTTTCACTGTGTATGTTTCATTGAATGTTTACATTTTTACAGTCAATTCTTATCAAAAGTCCAGGAACAATTCCCAAAAGATACAGATCTTATCGTGGCGTGCCAAAAAGGATTGAGGTGTGTTTTTATTTCCTATTGTTGGATTATATTTTTTCCTTTTCATGTCACCAGTGTAACTACTTATGTTTTTGTTCGTTCACTAAGTCTTCTGTTATTCATAACATATTGTAATTGTAAGAATCATTTTTCTCTTTTTTTTTTTTTTAAAATTTTATTTTTATAATAATCTTTTGTCTTAGGTGAGTACTCTGCCCAGCTGGTCCTATCATTTTATAGGCCCAAGGCAAAGTAAAAACAAGGGCCCTTATATAAAAAATAATCAGCAAATCATATATATATATATATATATATATATATATATATATATATATATATATATAGTTCAAAAGATTGTATTGGTTAATTGAAAAGAATTAAAGGATTCTTTAAATTCATGAGTTTGAATTTTTGCCAAACGTATAAAAAAATTTAAAACTTTATTAATAAAAAACCCTCTTGGGCTATCCTTGGACAGTTGGACTAGTGCCCCTTCAAGTGCTGGGCCTCTATATGAAGTTTAATTATAGACTTATTCAATGTTCTCCATATATATGTATTAATTGAATTACTTTTTCAAAGGGTTGTTATGGTTAAGTGGAAGTAATATTAAATAACAAATTTAAGGTCATGGGTTTGAATCTTTGCTTATGTCCTTGCATGTGCATTACCATCCATACAAAACCACTTATTTTTTTGCTAATTCTATGTAAATAAAGTTGTCGATGAAAAGCTATCATTTTAGTAATTAAATTGTGGTAGAAGTGTGTTAGAAATGTGGGTTTACCATAATAGTGGAAGAGAAGGGGAAAGTGTAGATTAGGTACTTGTAAGTTTTGACTTATAAATCGGTCCTTGTGGAAACAATCAGTCTCACCCTTTTCGTGAAGAGAGACAGTGATTTAGAAAAAAAAAACAAAAAAAACTACTAAAAGTATATCCTTATGTGTTTGTAAAGGGCATTTTTGTTATTATGATAATAATAGTAATATATTGGAGTAATGGATAGATAAGGATAAATTCTATTTCTTGCTGATGCCTATTCCATCAGGCAGGTCTCTTGCGGCTTGTGAGTTACTGTGCAATGCTGGTTACAGTAACCTCTTCTGGGTTCAAGGGGGTTTGGAGAATGCTGACGAAGAGGTCAAAGTGCCATCTTGAGTCTTAATATTTCTTTGTCTTAGTTCCAGCATTCCACTGCTGCTCTATTATTTGATTATGAATTAATTGAAATGTTTGTTCTCGTTTGTAATAGGATCTTGAAAGAGAAGGTCCTCAGCCATTTAAGTTTGCAGGAATTGGTGGGCTTTCAGAGTTCCTTGGGTAATTACAGTCATGCCTGATGCTTTCATGTAGAGACTAGTTCTTTTTAAGAATGCACCAAACTGTTAAAGCAGCCCAGACTAATTCTTTGTGCATGCGTGTAGAGAATTGAGAAATCAGTCTCATATACTACGAATTTCAAAGAAAAAAAAAACTTTTCGATGATCACTTATGCTATGAACTTTGCTTGAAAATTGTTGTGCCTTTGGATGGGTGACTCAATATATTCTTTTTTGAATACTTTCAGTTGGACTGACCAACAACGAGTTGCAGCTGCTAAGGAGGGTTGGGGTTACCGATTAGTCTTCTCTGCCCGCTTGGTACTGCTTCTTTCAGTTAGTTTTAAAAGAAATGTACTACTCTATACATAGTAATCCAGATTCTAGTGAGCTAGTATTTTGTTTCATAGGTTGGAGTCTTTCTTGTTGCTGATGCACTGTTTATCGGAGCACAAAGAGTGGGCCAATACATTCAAGATTTAAGGACTCATTAAGCAGTGTTGCCTTTGTTTATTGTCTTGAAGCAAGAGGGCCGGTATCATTAAAATTTAAGGTATCAGTGAGGATCCTTGCGCCATTCTAGATACTTACCAATGAAGCACAAAAGAAATGGCATTTTCTCAAGTTCCTCTGTTGAGACTGAAACGAAGAAGGCACTTTACTTTTGAAAACCCATACAGAAATGTATAGGACTTCTCTCTGCATCCAAAACCTTTATTTGCTGAATGCCTTTATGAAATGAGTGTAGATGATTTCTTTTTTCCTTCCAAAGACGGCATGCCATGATTTCCACATCTAACTTACTGTTTTCATTGTCCTTGTTTCTTTGAATTTGTTTATTGTACTTCTACTAGCTAACTTTCCTCTACGTTAATGTTTCCACTAAACGTCAATGCATAGTTCTACTTCTGATTGAGGTAACATATTCATGTTTTCTTTTGGAAGGTTGCTTATTCCTTAAACCTTTTCCTTTATATATACATATGTTTGGATTTATCATATATATATATATATGTGTGTGTGTGTGTGTGTGTGTGTGTGTGTGTGTATACATTTGTTGAAGTTTAACAGTTGTTTTGATGTTATGATGAAGAATGGGCATCTTCTTTTGCAGATGGTCAGCTTACTCGATCATTTCTCTCGCTTTTCTATGTTTAACATACTTCACTTATAGCAACTATGATTCAACCACTTAGATTGATGAATTTATATACTCTGTGGCTAGTATATATGTATACCCACCCCCATGATTGACTGTGTAAGGGTTGTTCATGCTTCTTTTGTTATAAAGTCTGTACTACTTTGTTGGTACAACACACAAATTTTTGGCATTATTACCTGTGATGAAACACCTTAACACTTTCCCCATACCATATTGTATTTATCTCTTGTATATATGAGGTGAGATATCTTGGCAAGAGCTCGGTATCAGTCTGTTATATGATCAAATGATCATTAATTAATGCTGTGTCGGTATCTTAACTTGCTCATTTCTGAGCTAATCACTTGATGAAGAAAATATGGTTGGAAATCATTTTTTTTTTTTTTTTTTTTTTGACTACAATCTAACCTATCTGTAGTATATGCTCAACAACATGATATGCCAACATCCTTGATTGGGGTGGGGCTCAAACCCGTGACCTTCTGCTTCAAAGTGCAACAGCGATGCCATCAAACCTGTGCATTCAGATGCCAAAAACTTGTCATGTCCAGGTCTATAGCTTCAACACCAGGAGGCAGATTCCAATCAAAGCCGAATGAAGTTGAGAAAGAGCAAACTCTGCAGTTGCCATAACTAACACAATGGTAGGCAACTTGGTACCAACTCAATTATTGTTTCTGTCCATGAATCTCTCTGGTTCAAATTCTTTGGATTTTCCCAGGTTTCTTGGTTTATTGCCACAGTATTAATAAAAAAAATCCTATTTTCGCAGGAATTATGTTCTTGTTGATGGTATCCTCTTCCACGGACTGGCTTGGTACGGATACTGGTGTAGGAGGGTGGAACCAAAGGACTTCTTTGATAATCAATTTCAAGAACTGTAACTTAGGTAAGTTACTTACTGAAACAGCTGCTTGTTCACCAACAATACTTAACTAGAGGAAAGAAAAGCAATAAAGAACTGTAACACATTGTCCGGATAAGATTATGCAGAAAATATCAAGGCACCAATCAAGTAATTGACAAAAAGAGAGAACTAATGGAAATATCTGAAGGAAATTTTAACAGTTGTATTGAAGTATATAATAGTGAACTCCCCTTTGGCTAGTGATGAGAGGGTGTAGAAATTTGACTTTTTTCTGCTGGCAGTGCCCAAAAAAATTGGATTGGCATTTTGCTAAGGCCGTTTTAATGAGACAAGATTGTTTTTGTTGAAACACAAAGGGTTGTGTCTGTCTACGGTTGAGCATATATAATATAAAAACATAAATATGTAGTCTAATTATTAGCTTAGACTTTTAGTTGAGATTTAACACATGTTTCAATTTAGTATCAGAGCCATCAATTTAGACTTTTAGTTAGGATGAATCACATGTTTCAATATCTACAAATAGGTGCGTGATGAAAGGTCACTGATTGGTAAATACGCACAGAAGACTGATCCGTATAACCGGTTTGTCGAAAAGTCATATGACCAGTCCGTTACGGTCATCATCCCGACAGGAATAAATCACTGTGGTCAACCGTACCGTTCGTACCGATAGGCTTCGTGACAAAAGAAGATGCTTTCGGATCACCCTTGGAATCGTCCTAACAGAAAGTCACCCGGCCGGTCTACCGTAGGCTGACCGATCGACCTACAAAGTGACGTAGCCTGCAAAGCCGGAAACGTAACTTACACGACAAGTCTTAGGGTCTAACTTGCACTTGCAGAGCGGCGATGGACAGCTTGCAGGTAGGGCGGCTCCGCCTCATCGACCAGTCAACCTACGCATAGCTGCAGATCGATCGCCTGACTGAGCCAACGAGAAGACGCCACGTCGATCCACTTGCAGCAGGCGCATTAAATGCAAGACATTATAAATAGGAGGGTCTCCTCCTCATTTTTGATATCTTCATCTGTTTATAACATCTACTCACTGTATTGTAACCTACTACTTATTACTTATTTACTTGTAATACTATTCAGCTTCGGATCACTCAGTCGTCGCCCTGTAGACCGACCGACCGATTGAACTACGAGCACTTCATTCTACTCGTTCACAAACATACGTATTCGTAGTGTAATTGTAACCATCGGTTCAATTTACGCTATCATTGGCGCCGTCCGTGGTGACTCTGTGTCCGGTTACCATATTTTTTCTCACGTAAAAATCTACCTCGCTTGATCGAAGTGGCAAACAGTAGGAGGAGCCGGAGCCAGAGTCATGCGCAGAGGGAAGGATCAACCCGCCAGGTTGGACATTACCCCGACAATGCGGACGAAGTGCTCCCCGAAAATGATCTACGAAGACAGCTGTATTGATCAAGAGGACTGATGAACGAGCTCACTTCCAATCATGGAGGGCAAGATACACAACCTGCCCAAACAGTAGGGGTGATCGCGGTTCCGGTTCCGGTTCCGCAAATGGACAAACCGGAATCGGAACCTTATAGTAAGGTTTCGGTTCCGGTTTAGAACCGGCAGTTCTGGTTGGAACCACCGGTTCTAACCGGATTTATTTTTAAAAAAATAAAAAAACACTATAATTTTTAATTTTTTTCGGTTTGGAACCGGAAGTCGGTTCCGGTTCCTTTTCATCTCGAACCTTAACCGGAACCAATTAGGAACCGGAACCGTACGGACAGTTCGGTTCAGGTTAAACAGTCGCGATTCAAAGGAGGCAGAACTAGCCGGTTAGCCGGTCGGGTCGGTGACCGACCGGTCAGAAGAGAGACACCCGAGCAGAGAAGATAGTCCTCGCTATCAGCTAGCCAGGATGCAAGAAAGGATAGATCGTTGGGCAAGAGCTCGAACAGTTACAATAAGAGCTTCGTGAAAAAAACGGCGCAAGTAAAGAGCCACCCACTCCACTAATCGCGACTCCACGGTTGACCCACCGACCATGGAAAGTTTGCTAAGAAATGGGAAGGGCCCTACAAAGTCTCGGTAATTGTTCAACCCGGCACCTACAAATTAGAGACGCTGTCCGGTCGATTAATCGATCGAGTATGGAACTCCGAGCACCTCATGAAATTTTACAAGTAGTGTAGGGCAACTACTATATTACATGTACTCGGATGGCTAAATAGAAATTTTCTCTCTTAACATCATTGTATTATTCCTAACTCCGTTCGAAATGTTTTAAGTTGCTCCTATATAAAAAAAAAGGGGGCGGACGGTCGGCCGAAGTAGGAGCAAATTGCCTCCCGGCTCTTTCGTTTGAGGTTTTGTTCGGTCGAATTATTTCGGTTCTACCTGCACGATTTTGTCCGATTGAGTTTGTGATTAAGTTCACTTGTTTTCCCGACTCTTTCATTTGAGGTTTTGACCAATCCCGGCCCTACCTGCACGATTATGTTCGGTTAATTTTTTCTGGCCGACCAGTACGGTTCCACCTGACCGGTCGGTCGGTCATGTCTACTTGTCACTCGCTTTTAGTGTACAAGAGAAGCCTTACCCATTGGGTATCCTGCATGGTTTAAGATTGATTATTACACTTAATCATTCGAAGTGTCTCTTTGCAGTTTAGCTACTATGTATTTGCAGGGTGAAGGGCAGCCGATCGGTCATATCAACACATGAAGAACAGAAAATGACAAGTAGTTAGTGCGGAGCAAAGGAAACGAAGAACACTTAAATAAAATAGGCATAGTCTGATCGACACAAGAACGGGGTCGGCCTCCTGAATACGAGAATCCAAAAGTCTATGAGAGATAAAGCCAACTACGGATCACATTGCATCACATCAAGAACCTTGATTCCGAGAAGCAACGGTAGAGGGGTCAGTCGGTTCTACAGGTGGATTGACAAACGGCTTGGGAATCGCTGGTGGCCCTACTTCTCTAGGTAGCCCGGTACAGGCCTGTTCACAATCCTTTAGAAGAAGTGTTTCTTCGAGAGCTTGGTGCAAAGACACCTGCATGGCATGCTTCCCCCTGTGATAACCCCAGGCGGTTGCTCTACGCACCACCTACAAACCGACATGATCACGACACAACACTTGAAGAAAGGAGACAACAGTGTATTCGGATGAACAGAGTGACTTGGCCAGATCAGGTAGCTCAGCCGGTTGGGAAGGATAAAGCTCGGTAGCTTTCTGAAAAAACGGATAGAACTAGGATACTGATTCAAGAAGTCCACTTGAGCCTCTAGGCTCCTCACCCTCTCCCTAAGTTTACTCAACTCTGAATCACGCCCCATGGCTTCATATTTAGCCCGGACGAACAACTCAACGGTTCTACTAGCAGCCTGACATGTGCACAAATCAATAAGGAAGGTAACATTGACAGACGAAGAAAAGAGAAAGCAAGGAAAGAACATGTAGCAGTTGGTAGCCGGAGCAAGTACCTGGGCCAAGTGATGGGCAACTTGCTCTCCCACGGAGTGGGTTGACCAATTAGCCAGGGTCTCGGATGGAGGACTCAGCTTGAACAACATATTAATCGTGCCTTGGGTAAGTGCCTTAGCAAGTGGAGGCGCCTCTTCGCCCACCCGAGCTCTTTTAGGGTTATCAGCTTGAGCTTCTAAGAATGGCTCGACCTTCGCCACATCCAAGGACCTTTCCAGACCGATTTAGTCTGAATCGGGGCAGCAGAGGAGTCAGATCGATGGGGTCCGACAGGTGGTTGACCGGCAGTATGATGATCCGCAGAAGAGGCGATCGACGTCATCTTCAGAACAACCTTCAGACTCCGTTTGGTTTTGCTACCTGACGAAGCCTTCCCTGCTGCATCTATCATTTTCTCGAGATTGTCGTCAAAAGCCATTACTGATTGACCTGCGCAACAAGAGACAGAACAAACAAAAGAGTTAGAAGTTAAAACAAGAGACCGACATGCGATACTTTGACCGAACGACCGACCACCTATGACGGAACGACCCAATGACTCGTAGGTCGGGCGAGTGAGTTGAGCAGTTGCCAAGGTACGCGGAGAATGATAAACCCCCCAAGGGTAAAACTCGGATCCGATCTTCCCGACATCATCGTAGATCTCTAGAGTGTCAGGCGGGCACACGCACGCACTTACGCATCCGCGACGACCACTTGTTCGTGAATGGCGGCTCATCATCCAACCTAACTCGTAAAAATTTCTCTTTCCACTTGCGATTGCTGTCCAGAAGATCGGAAATTTTTCCAACCAACCCGCAACACTGGATAATAACAAAACCACTGCCTTCGCATGAGGCTTCTCAAGGCAATGGTTTTGTTATGATCCAGTGTCGCGGGTTGGTTGGGAAAATCTCCGATCTTCTAGGACAGCAATCGCAAGTGAAAGGCTTCGTCAGGTAGCAAAACCAAACGGAGTATGAAGGTTGTTCTGAAGATGACATCGACCGCCTCTTCCGCAGATCACCATACTGCTGGTCGACCACTTGTCAAACCCCATCCATTTGACTCCTCTACTGCCCCGATTCAGACTAAATCGGCCAGGAAACGTCCTTGGAGGTCGAGCCATTCTTGGAAGCTCAAGCTGCTAGAGCCTGGGTGGGCGAGGAAGCGCCTTCACTTGCTAAGGCACATACCCAAGGCACGATTAATCTACCAGAGATGTTTAATCTGTTGTTCCAGCTGAGTCATCCATCCGAGACCCTGGCTAATGGGTCAACCGACTCCGTGGGAGGGCAAATTGCCCATCACTTGGCCCAGGTACTTGCTCCGGCTACCAACTGCTACATGTTCTTTCCTTGCTTTCTCTTTTCTTCGTATGTCAATGTTACCTTCCTTATTGATTTGTGCACATGTCAGGCTGCTAGTGGAATCGTTGAGTTGTTCGTCCAGGCTAAATATGAAGCCATGTGGCGTGATTCAGAGTTGAGTAAACTTAGTGAGAGGGTGAGGAGCCTAGAGGCTCAAGTGGACTCCTTGAATCAGTATCCTGGTTCTATCCCGTTTTTTCAGAAGGCTGCCGAGCTTTATCCTTCTCGATCGGCCGCGCTACTTGATTTGGCCAAGTCACTCTGTTCATTCGATGACGCTGTTATCTCCTTTCTTCAAGCGTTGTGTCGTGATACTGTCGGTCTGCAGGTGGTGCGTAGAGCGACTGCCTGGGGTTATCACATGGGGAAGCATGCCATGCAGGTGTCTTTGCACCAAGCTCTCGAAGAAACACTTCATCCAAAGGATTGTGT